GTGAAGAGGGGCTCGGGCAGCTCACGGAAGTAGAGCTTCAGCGTGCCTGCGATGGCGTTCACGTCCATCTCGCTCATCATCACCGACACGTCCTTGTTATCTGGAAAGAGAACGGAAGTGCTGCAGCCTCCTTGAGGATCCCCAGTGCGTCTCCCGCCATCCCTGCCTTGGCTAACGCACTGTCCCTGCCGCGCTGACCACTGTGCGGGACCCTCCCCTGCTGTGAGCAGCTTATCTTACTCCTCCCAAGAGCTGCGTGTGGTTCTGTCTGTGCAGCGTTGATGCAGGGGCGTGTGCATCCCCGGACCTCTCCCCTGCTTGGCCCGACGTGATGGCCAGGAGGAGCCCAGCGTGGCAGGACACAGAACCTGCATGGGAATCGGGGACTCTGCCCTGTATAGCAACCACCCCTGCTCCCGTGTCTTCTGATAGCAGGAAGGCTGTGGGAGCGTCTGATGGGTTTCAGTGTTTGAACTGGTGTCTTGTCTTTGGACCCAGTTAGCCACTGGTGCTTACCTCCCCACCACAGGCCAGGTCCATTCTGGAGCCCCAGAGGGAGCTGAAACTACCCCAGGGCCCACCCAAGGGTGATGGGCATTCTGGAGGTCCCGGTAAGGGTGGATGGTGAGTGCCCCAGAGAAAGGTCTGCAAGGCACAAAGTCCTGTTGCTGTGATGATGCTGGGCAAGGACCCTCTGGGGTCTCAGTGCCCTCCCCTGGCATTTGGGGAGGTCCTTCATGGCCTGTGAGGGTTGGTGAGATGGAGGTGGAGACGCTGCAGCCCCGGCCTGAGCTGGGTCCATCAGTGCCCTCTGCCCGCCGCATCCTCACACAGGGCAGTGGACAGAACACACTGAGTCCTGGGCTTCGCAAGTCCTGCCCACCCCCACGGCAGGAAAGCTAAGGCCCCGAGGAAGCACCTAGCCAACCTTCAAGCAGCATGGGTGGGTAGGTGGTTTAAAAACTGGCTTCTACGGGCTGGGTGTGGTGGCTCACGCCTGTAATCCCAGCACTTTGGGAGGCTGAGGTGGGTGGATCACGAGGTTAGGAGTTGAAGACCAGCCTGACCAACATGGTGAAACCCCGTCTCTACTAAAAATACAACAATTAGCCGGGCTTGCTAGCACCCCTGTATTCCCAGCTATTTGGGAGGCTGAGGCAGGAGAATCACTTGAACCTGGGAGGCGGAGGCTGCAGTGAGGTGAGATTGTGCCATTGCACTCCTGCCCAGGTCACAGAGTGAGACTCCATCATAAAAAAACAAAAACAAAAACTGGCTTTTACAGAAGCTCCTTCTACAACTCTTGTCTTGTCTTTCTTAAAAACCATAGAACAGTAAATGAAGAAAAGACACAGAGAAGGCTGTGACATGCCCGGGCCGTGGAGCGCTGTGAGATCTCGTCATGGACACCGCCGCCCACACCCCCTCCGCCCTGCCCAGGCCGACACTCACTGACGTCGAAGGCTGCCTTCAGCGCCTGGATGTCGGTGGCCACTCCGGACA